TATGCTAGATGGTGGCAAATTCAGGGTAAAACACTAATTGAGAATAATGGTATAGATATGACTTGAATTATCTATGAACATGTTTCATTGAAAGTTATGATGGAATTGATATTGGTTCAGCCTTGAACTATTGAGGTGTGACCTGTTATATCTATGGTTTATTAGAAAATTACTTCACCCCTATCTGTAAGAGTGAATGTCAATTTTGTTAGTTTATTATTTTTAGAAATCTGAATAATTAACATACTGGAAACAAATCACTTTAAAGGAAGAACCATAAGGCTTTGAGTTATTTATAGGGGTTTTACAGTGCTTGTGCAAAAACTTGAACACTCACACTCTCACTCTCACTCTCACTCTCACTCTCACTCTCACTCTCACTCTCTCTCTCTCCTCTCTCTCTCTCTCTCTCTCTCTCTCTCTCTCTCTCTCTCTCTCTCTCTCTCTCTCTCTCTCTCACTCACTCTCACTCTCTCCTCTCTCTCTCTCTCTCTCTCTCTCTCTCTCTCTCTCTCTCTCTCTCTCTCTCTCTCTCTCTCCTCTCTCTCTCTCTCTCTCTCTCTCTCTCTCTCTCTCTTTCTCTCTCTTTCTCCTCTCTCTCTCTCTCTCTCTCTCTCTCTCTCTCCTCTCTCTCCTCTCTCTCTCTCTCTCTCTCTCTCTCTCTCTCTCTCTCTCTCTTCTCTCTCTCTCCTCTCTCTCTTCTCTCTCTCTCTCTCTCTCCTCTCTCTCCTCTCCCTCTCTCTCTTCCTCTCCTCTCTCCCCTCCCTCTCTCCTCCGCTCTCTCTCTCTCAACTCTCTCTCTCTTCTCTCTCTCTCTCTCTCTTCTCTCTCTCTCTCTCTCTCTCTCTCTCTCTCTCTCTCTCTCTCTTCTCTCTTCTCTCTTTCTCTCTCTCTCTCTCCTCTCTCTCTCTTCACAATCTTTCTCTGCTTCACTCCCCCACTATATTCCCATTCCTTGCTGTCTTTATATCCATAGGAACATTTACATACAAATACACCCATAAACAGACTCAAGCACATACATGAATATCATTGTGAAGGTATTGGCTGTTTTCATTAACATTCATATTTAGTGTTTTTTATTTTCTTATCTTTTATTGCTGTTTGAAAGTCAAAATTTACATTTAAAGTCAAGCTTAGTTATTTTATCTGTTTCCTGTGACTCCATTATTAATGGAGATAAAAAGTACAATGAAATGTGTTATGTGTATTTTATGTCATGTACTGCAGTCTTTTAGGAAGCATCTGACTTGTTTTCTTACTGCATTTTATAATTTACTTCAGCTGTGGAAATTCATTATTGTGTTTTATATGTTTTTCAATACAGTCCTTGCATGCTGGACTGGAAGCCAGAAGGCATATCCAGAGAGTAAGATTAGCTTTTAAGAAGTTTTTATGTGCAGGTTGGCAAAGAAAGAGGCTTCTCTTTAATGCCATGCATTGAAGGGGTGGCCACATTGGTAGGTAACTTACCAAGACTGTCATTTGAAAAAGAAATATAAAGTCTTTACAGGTTGTAGTTCTCTTTAAAATGCAACAGGATTACTGTTGTTTCTAGCACATTTTAATCCCAAAATCAAATATGCATTTTTTGCTGTCTTCCTCAGCGAAGACTGCAGTGTCAACAGGAGGCTTTTTATGTAGTGCCCTTGCTACCCCTTGCCTCAGCTGGCCACCCTACAGAAAGAAACAACATTCATATGATAAAGACAGAGTCAGTAATTAGTAAGGAATTAGTGAACTGACAGCCACCCAAAGGTTGTTGCCGGCTAGAATGCGGGGTGTTTTTAGCTTTCAGACTCTTCTTCTTAGGATAACTCCCAAGCTTTGGTGGCAACTCAATTCCAGATTGTTGTCATGTTTATCAATTTCTTGACTGTCTCCATGTATTTGGATGTGAGAGTTCTTAGTGTCTTATCTTTTGTGTTAACATTAGTGTAACTTACAATCATTCAATTTATATAAAAGATCTCATACAAGCCCCAGCCAGAAGCAAATAGTGTACCACAAATTTTGTGTGCAATTGGACATGAGCAAAAGCTGTGGAAATTCAAATGGAAGGAACCCAGTGAAACTTTTTTATACATTGATTTGAAAAAGCATAAGTTTAATGTATTTTACAGTGATGCGGAGTTTCTGTAAAGCTGTGGCATTAGCTGTTTACCTTTTCTTGTGATTGAGGTTTTAGTCCAATAATTATTGTCACTTCCCAAAGTTTCTGCATATTGATTAAGGAGAATTCCCGGGCTGTTGTGTATATCTGGAAGGAAAAAAAAGATACAAAAAAAAAAAAAAAGTTTTTATTGTTGCTGAAAATGTGGTCCTGTGGCTGTGTGTGTCAGAGACCTTGTGTGATCGCAATTTATGAATGTTTTCCATTATAAAGAGGTGGCACCACGTGTGTTTTGTTCATTCTTTTCTTTGATATATGTGTTCATATGTTTTCTTTATGTCAGAAAAGGATTCCCAAGGGAACCTTACGATTTAAGGCCTCTTAGTTCTGGTTCCTGATGATTGAGTTAGTGGTCAAAGTGACCTTTGGTTGTGGGCTTCAAAATACCATAAGCACAAGAAATGTATCAAATACAAACAGAAAAAAAACATATGTATATATTCTGGTAATGTTTCATTTATATTTTGATTACCAGTGTTCAAAGAATTTTATTTTTACCTTTTATTACACGTAATTTTTAACAGCAATTAGTGGTCCATAATGTGATCAATGGATTTGCTTTACTATCACTCAGAGGAACTTACGGTATTAGGAAGATGTAAAATGATAAATTATTCGTCTTGAGCATTTAAGTATGTGTGGATTTTAAAATGTTTTATGTGAATATTTTCAGTATTATTAGAATTTGCTTTAATGTAGATACAAAGAAATATGAAATGAATAGATGATTAAATGATTATATATATGTTCTTTATGTAGTTGTGTGGTTATGTAACTGTATATAGATATATATATATGTATAGATTTATTTGCGTAATTTGGTCTGTATACACACACACGCATGCATGCATGCACGCATGTTCATACATATACAAGCATGCACACGAACACACACAAACACACACAAACACACATACACACACAAACACACATACACACATACACACACATGCACACATACACACACATGCACACATACACACACATGCACACACATACATACACATGCACACACATACATACACATACACACACACATATACACACACACACATATACACACACATACATATACACACACACAAATACACACACATAAATACACATACAAATACCATACAAATACACATACACACACACACACACACACACACACACACACACACACACACACACACACACACACACACACACACACACACACACACACACACACACACACACACACACACATGTACACACAAATATACATACATAAATTGATGTGTGCATTGGTTTAGGTGTAAGTAAAGTATGAGTACGAGTATTCCATTCTACTTTTGCGTTTGTGTGTGCATGTGTGTGCATGCATGTGCAGTGCTTAGGAGTTTGTATGTGTGTGTGTGTGTGTGAATGACCATGTATGTGTCTACTGGTGTGTAGGTTTATACTTGAATTTACATTTATGTATGTAGGAATATTTACATACATGTGTGTAGAAATGGTAAACAGTTTTTGTATATAAGTTATATGCACATGTATTTGGATGTGGATATGAGTGATACACTTTGTGTGTGAGTGTGTGTGTGTGTACGTGTGTGGGCATGCTTGCGTGCGTGTATGTGCGGGCATGCTTGTGTTAAAAAAGTACCTAGTTATCTGTGTATATATATAAAAATGGCATTTGTCAGTGTTCTTTGACAGATATAAAAACATAACTAAAAACTTAGATATATTCAGCTTAACAGAGACTGCTTATGTCAGTGCTGCCAGATCTTTGTGGTCACATGTGTGTATTGCAAGAGAATTTGTATGTATACATGTATGCATACCTTTTATGTGTAATTAAGTGTCTTTATGCTTGTGCATTATCACAGGGGTGCATCCAGTAGCAACACCCAGCTTAAAAATTATTGCTCACTTACTCTTTAGGAAGGTCTTGAAATGTAGCCGCAACTTTGAGAAAAAAAAAAAAAAAATTGCTTGCATTACACCTGTGAAACATGGTAACCCCTTTTATATATCCACGTATGTATGTTTGCATGATTCTTGGCATGTATACTGCATGCCAGTGGCTCTGCATGCTTGATATGATGCAGTGAAATTAATTTAGATATTATGGCTACTAAGTGGCTTAATTTTATCTAATTGGGTTTGTTTCCTATTGTTTATTCTTAATTTGTTTTTCTTCTTTTTTAGCTCTATATTTCCTCCCACTCCCTTGGTTTTTTATCATGTCAGTATGAACACTTTACCCGTTAACTGTGGCCCTAGGGTCTCTTGTAGTTCCAAGTATAACTGCAACTTGAGGTACAACAGTTTCAGGCATTTTTTAAAGATTTTTGTAGTGGATGCAAAATTTTCAACAACTAATTTTTATACCACTATCAGATTCAGTTTAAAATATGGAGAGTGCATTCATTATTCTTTCATTGATTATATATTTGCAAAGGCATTTTGCAAGGGTTTGATTATTCACTATTCAATATTTTTGTTATATTTTCTTTATTGTTGTTATTAGTAGTATTGTTTCCACCAGTATTATTATTGTTGTCATCTTTGTTACTCATAGCTATTTTTTTCTGACCTCTTTTCTTTTTTACACTGTAAACAAAATAAATAACTGATTATAATGAAATTACTTAGAGACTGCTGATTCTTTAATTTCTAACTGCAAAAAGGATGAAAATATGATTTGAATTTAATAATATTGAGTTAAGTATATTCATATTTAGATGTGTTATTATGATGATTATTTCTTTGTTGTTATTGATAGTAATATATATATTTTATATATACAATGATTATTGATGTTATTTACTTAGTTGAAAAAGTGAAGCACACCGTTGTCTCCAATTATATCATCCATTTTTTAAAGACATGGCATTTGATTTTGGAAGCATTCATTATCGAGACATTTATTCTGGACCCAAGGCTTTTATTCAGTACTCATTTGCAAGATACAGTGTCCTCATCTTCAGTACTCATGGTTATGTACTGAACCTCTTAATGATGGGCACACCTATAGCCATCATGGATATCCTACCCTTTTGTCGGGAAGCGTGTATGCACGTTATGCCTCACTCTAGTAAACGAGCGAATAGTCTGGCTTACACAGCAAATGCCCTGCTAGAAAGGTTAGATAGATACCAGTAGTTGCCAGAATTAGGATACACAGAAAAGTATTGTACTTATATTTTATAAACTACAGGCCTGTATAATTTAGAAAGAGTGAAATACAGTGCAGAAGTCCAGGAGTTCAAA